GTGAGCAGCCATCTAGAGGCCGGTAACTGATCTGCCTCTCTCAGGAAGAGTACAATGATGGTGCCAGCTTGGGCCAGTGAAGCAATGTCCTCCACAACTAGACTGAAGAACAAAACAACAGCAACTTGTTTGTTCCCCTTCCCCTGATTCCCCAGTGCTGTTCCCCTCCCCCAATTTCCCAATAAAATCTTTAAAACAAAACAAAACAAAAAAAACCAGAAGTAATATTATATCCCAAAATTTTCCATCCTGTGGCATATCATAAGACTCATGCCATTGTAGATTTTTTTTTCATCTAACCAATATAAATCTAACACCTATTACAGTTCCGGGCACATGATCAATATGTGACCCTAACTTAAATGGCTGAATTCATTTAATCTGTCCTAATTTGAATAACTCTTGCTTGTACTTTTCCTTTTCAGATCCTTAAAAAACAGGTTCCCAACTGAAGTATTCAGCATTGTTATCTATCATTAAACATTGGTCAAAGAATACCATCAATGTTATGATCCATGTCCCACTGCAATTCAGGTTAAAGGTGAGTTCATTCATTCAGTATTTAGAGAGAATTTGTTGATTTTTGCTACCCAATACAGACTCCCCGTGCTTGAAGCAACAAAACTCTGAGGGAGCCCACCTCTGCTCTTCTCAGTCCACAGGTTTTGGGCAAGCGGACTGGCCCCACATTCCAGGGGTAGGACACACACCTAGGTTAAACCAACATTACATTCTAATCCCCAGTGACTGATGCAGAGACGAGCACATGATTCAAGTTAGGACAACTCAGACCAGTGAGGTTTAATTGCAAGACTTTTATTTGCTTAATAAAGGACAGATTCTTCTCTATTCAATTTGGTGTTATGATACTAAACCTGGAGCTGTCGACAATAAAACCAAAATAACAAAAAGTGGAACTGAGGGTTGGGCAGCAGCTCAGAACTGATGCCAACGGCACCAGAATCTAGATCTAACCATCAATGTTTTAGGTATGACGCCAAGAAACTCCTTCTTGCTTCAGCTACCTGTGTCAAGCTTTGGATTCAGACAGACTTCAGGGTGAATCCTCCCTGTCATTCACTGGTTGTGTGGACTTCAGCAAATCATTTCATTCTCTTAACCTCAATTATCTAATAGCACCTGCAAAACAGTTGTAAAGAAGCAATGTGTATACTCAGTCATAATATAGTGGGAAACACTTTATTAAACTTGTAACATTCATCACCAAACAGGAAGTTTTACTTTTTCAACTTAATATGCTTATACTCTCATCAAATCTAAAACATAGGACATTTTGAAAATACTGGGCAACTTTCTTATTACTCTATAATAAATAACTGGTAACAAACAGGAGGTTAAAGAAAGCAACTGGTGAATATTTTGCATTAGGCTCAATAATTCTAAAAAAAAAATCATGATATGTCTATTCAAAATAAAGGTTCAATCCTGGTTACATGATTTTCCTATTTTAAAGGTTTTTCTATTTTCCAAGTTTTAAAAATCACTAATTAAGAAATCTAATGTTTTCTCCTTAAAACCCAATGTCTTACCTCAAAATATTGGCAAATTCTCTCTAAAAGAAAGAACAATCCATTTAAAATTTAAAACTGTGTTTCCTTCCTTCCCATCTTTAACATACTAAAAATAGGTGAAAAACTTTTTATAAATCTCTAAGTAAATTTGTGGGGTTTTTGCATGTTTATGAAGGTATTTATAGAAACAAATGTAGCTTCTGACAGAATATATGACCTGAATTGCACTTTGCATCCATTCTTCACAATATAAACATAACATTATGATTAGGTGACTAAATAAAAACCATCGATCTCTGCTATCAGAAAAGAGAAGCAATGAGAGGCGCAATCCCCATAGCCATGGTTTATGAGCTTCTAGGACTGGTTTAGGATTATCATTTAGAAAATGGAAAATTTAACCTTCTAGAAGTCTGCAAAACAAATATAAGACTGAATGGTTCCAATGACTTGATATAAAAGCTTCAAATGTCATTCCACTTTGCATCAAATGCTCTGTTTTACTACAGTGATATTCATATGGGAATTAACAGTGGTGATCTGTCATTTTCAACCCAACATATAGACTTTACTCACTCTTTAAGTCACAGATTTTCTTCTGAGACAAACTGTAAGATTTCCTTACTACACTGAAACTCCAGAAAAGTCTTATGCTTTCTCTGTTGCTAAATTCTCAGAGCACAAACTTGTAGTTCCCAAAAGTAAAATCTAAGGCATGACGTGAGCAATTTTCTTTAAGAAGAATGCTTAAAATGAAGGGTCAGTTCCTAAACACAATATTAAGGGAATACTTTTTTAATTCAATTTATACATGAGGATCATAGCACAACAAATTTACAAAGTTATAAATTACAACCATGCTCTCATTTTTTTAAAAAAAACTTAAGTTAAATCTACATATGGACCATATCAGTATACTATGTTGTATAAGCATCTACCTACAAATTACCAAAGAAGCATCAATAATTTTTTTAAATTTAACTTTTTAAGTGCCCCTACATTTAGACAGATGTTATCCTATTTTCTCTGAGCAGCTGTTCATGTGGACATGTTCCTTATTTATTGATATACCATGTTTGGTGCTAGGGTCATATTTCTTAAACAGGAACTTGGCAACTTCCAAATTCTTGGTAAATATTGACATATCTCAGCGTGTCAATATTTATACTCTCAGGACTTTGATGAGTCCCTTCAACAATGGCTGCATCTCATTTCTTAGCAGCCACTTGTTTCTGTTCGTTAAGCAATGTCTTTCTTTATTCAATAAAATTCTCATTAACTGTCCAGATAAAACTACAATAGGCTGAAAGCATCCTCTCACACAAAGACAAGATTAAGCTCCTTGCTCATTTCAACATTTTGGTCACTTCTGCAGGGTTAAGTAAAGCTCAAAGAAATCACCCACAAATTCAGTGTGTCCTCCAAGTAATAGTTGTTTTTGATGACTTAATTTCAAGCCTAATCATCATTTTCAACCCCATTGCTGGGGTTGAATGCCACTGAAACCTTTTCAGAATTTACCGTTAAATTGTTTCCTTTTTTGTTAGTCCTAAAGGCTAGGGAGAATTATAAAAGATTGGTTTACAGACTACAATGATGATGATATTCAGCGAACAGTTTGAATTCTGAATACCTACTATAAAAGGTAGCTGAAAAGTTAACAAATTAATCATTAATTAATCTTAAGGCAAATTTACATATTACTGGGACAAAATCCTTGCAATACCTTGTAAATACCCTGGGATTCCCCAATGGCACACAAGCAAAAGTTTAATTTACAACTATTGGCAGTACTGGCATCTACAAAAGCATGAAGGCTTCAGGAGCAGTTTGGAATTCTAGTATGGGTTTCTTCCTTTAGGCAAAGAAAGTCTCAGTGGAGTTTTTCTCCCAAAAAGGGCCCAATTTCATTATCAAAAATTTGCTGACTATAATAACCTTCTGTTCATTGATTTCAGAGAGTGTCTCAGAAAAAACAACAACACAATTCACTCTCTCATTAGCACTGGAAGATTCACAAATGATAAGGAGCGTATTACCCAGGGCTATCAAATACATTAACCACCTCCTACTTGTATAAAAAGAAACACCCTTCTATTAGTTTAAAGACAGTCACCTTTTCCTTAGAAAACAAGGTATAGTAAATAGAGCTCTCAGAAGAGCTAGCTTGAAATCAAAACTCTACCCCTTTAGAGATGAGTGATTTTGGTCCTGCCATTAATGCATTAAAATGTTCATTGACTACGTATGTACAGGCTTTCATATCCCAAAGATGAGTAGGATAGATTTCCAGATCTCTAGTGAGACAGAAACACCCAAGTTTGTCAAGTGCAGAGGAAGGGTGGGAGCTCCTTTGAAAAGCAGCACATAAGCCATCACGACATTTCAGGAAAGGCCTCTTTGAGTTACATTTTTTAAGATATGAATCTTGAAAGGCGAAAATAGTTTAGAGGTGCAAGGAAAAAGGTAAGGAAAGGCATTCCGGGCAGAAGAACATGCATAAGCAAAGACTTGGAGGCAAGAAGTAGCATGATATATGGAAATGATAAACAATTCAGTGTTTCAGACTGATTGCAAATCAAGGATTACAAATTCAAACACCCATCAATTTCAATCATTCAACCAAAACATAATGTGTACTTCTTTGCCTCAGACAGTGTTTTAGAGCTTGGGTTAAGGGAACAAAACATAAAATTTCCTGTCTTTGTGGAGTATACGTTTTAATAGAAGATGAACAATTAAAAATACACATAATAAGCATGCAAGATATAAAAAATGGTAATAAGTGCTGTAATAAATGAAGAAGATAAAACAAGGCAGAGGAAATTGGGAGCACAGAGGCCCGTTAGGAAAGCAGAGAAGTCATATAGTTGCAAAGCTGCAATTTAAAATAGTAGTTTGAGGTAGGCTTTCTTGAAAAGGTGACATTTGAGCAAATACATAAAAGAGGTGAAGGAATTATCATGTGGATGTTTGGGAAGAAGCATTTCAAGTAGATGAAGCGGCAGGTGCAAAGGCCCTATGGTGGAAGTGAGCCTAGTGTGTTCAACAAACAAGGCAGCCAGTAGGGCTGGAACAGAGAGAGGAGAGAATGCAAAGGAATGAAGTCAGAGAGGTAATGGGGAACCAGATCATGCAGAGTCTTGTAGGCCAGTGTAAGGACATTGGCTTTTACCATGAGGCAAATGAGAATTCATAAAAGGTTTTTCAGCAAAGAAGTAATGTTACATTTTTTAAATATACATATATATATATATATATGAATAAAATTCTGAATTTACAGAAAAGTTTCAAAGGTAAGACAGAGTTCCCATATACCCCTCACTCAGTTTCCTCTAATATTAACATCTTACATTACCATGGTGCATTTATCAAAAAGAACACACCAACATTGGTTCATTTAACTGAACTCCAGATTATCTGGATTTTACCAGTTTTTCCACTAATATCGTTTGCCTATTCTAGGACCCAATCTAGGATAACACAATGCATTTAGAATCTTATACTTTAATACAATTTTTTACTTACATTTTTTAAGTATCTGAGAATAGACTGTCGTGAGGCAAGGCTTGAAGAAAGCAGGGAGACCAGCTAGAACATAATTACCGTAATTCAAGAAAGATGATCAGTGTACTAAAAGCAGAAATAGTAGGAAATGGTCAAATTCTAGATATAGTTTATAGAGTCAATAAGATTTGCTGGTGGATTTGATGGAATATGAGGAAAAGAGTCAAGGATGACTCCAAATATTTAACTTTTAGCAACTGGCTATATAGAGTTACCACCAACTGAGATGAGAAAGAATGGGACAATTTTGGGGGGAAAGAAGTTCAGTTTGTGACATTTAAGTTTGAATAACTTTAAGTAAACAAATGGAGGTATAGAGATAGAGAATTGGATATGTGTGTCTGGAGTTTAGAAAGAGAGGAGAAGAGGAATATGAATTTGGTAGTCCTCGGTCTATAGATGGTATTTAAAGTCATTAAGACTTGATATCATCAAGAGGACCTGTAGACAGAGGCAAAAAAGAAAACCAAAGATTGAGCCCTGGAGCACGTAAACAATATGAGATCAGAAAGAAAAGGAGGAAGGACTGAAAAGGAGCAACCAATGAAGTAGAAGGAAAATCAAGAATGCAATGTCGGGCTGGCCGAGTGGCGCAATGGTTAAGAACTGGCTTGGGACGCCAGGGAGCCCCGGTTCGGATCCCACATATGAGGGCCAGTGACACTGCCCTCCACAGCTAAAATGCTGAACAACAGCTCAACCTGGAGCTGGGCTGCCATGAGTCACCAGCGACGGCGTAGGCTGCAGCCCCAGCTGCAGTGGGTTGCCATGGGCTACCGTACGTAGCCAGCAGCCAGCGTGAGCGGCCAGCAGCCAGCGTGAGCGGCCAGCAGCCGCAGTGAGCGGCCATCCAGAAGCCGGTGACTGATCTGCCTCGCCCAGGAAGAGCGCAATGATGGTGCCAACTTGGGCCAGTGAAGCAACGTCCTCCACAACTAGACTGAAGAACAAAACGACAGCAACTTGTCTGTTCCCCTTCCCCCAATTCCCCAATAAAAATCTTTAAAAAAAAAAAGAATGCAATGTCCTAGAAATCAAGTGAAGAAAATACACCATGGAAAAGAGAGTGATCAACTATATCAAAAGTTGCTTGTAGATCAAATACTTTAAGGACAGAATGATAAACTCCTAGAGATCACTCTGACACTAACAAGGGCATTTTGAGGGAGCATGGCAGCGATAGCCACGTTGAAATGATCTAAATTGAGGGCAAGCAGAGTTTGTCACCCCAAAATATGCCTTTTGGGATACTGATTATTTTAAGTTGGTTACTTCGAAGAAAGAAAAGACTCAGGAAGAAGCTTTAACCTTCCCCCTAACTGCCAAAAAATTTAGATAGAGGACCTGCTCCAGGAAGAGAGCTATCATCATAGATAACAATAGTCTACTACGAACCAGTGTATGATAGGAAGGAACCAAGCAAGGTACTCTCTGTATCCCATTGTTAAAAGACAGCCCAGCAAACGTTTATTTAGGGGACATTTTCTTTTCTATAAGCATTTATTTAGGGAACATGTGAACTGCTTTCATCCACTATAAAGTCCCAAACTACTGTTCCTTACCCCTTCTCCTTAGCAAGATGGCATATAAGCCTTAACTGCCCAATTTGTCCCCTATTGTCTCATATTCTTACGAAATCCCCGTATGTATAATTTGGTCATTTTCTCCTGTAAATGTGTCTTATGTTAATTTATTAATCCATCAGAAGAAATTTCTAAGGGTATAAGAAAATTTCTTTTCCTCCCCCATGCAAGAAAAAATAGGAAAAAAAAAAGAAAGAAAGAAATTGGGATTTGCAGCATAGAGAACTCCTTGGAGGATATTTGTTTAGAAGAGCAAATAAATGGGGTTAGAAGTGGAGAAAGGTCATTTCTTAAAGTAAAAGAAATAATATGCAAGCAAAAGAAAACTTTTATGGATCTTAATCTTAGAGCCATGGGGAAAGAGAATTTAAAAAAAGGGAGGGGGGAAACACACACTAGAATACAAAAGAACCTCAACCTCAGACTATAGAGGCTACTTGAGGATCAGAAAAAACAAGCTGTTAAGTAAAAGGACTGCCTTTTAATACATGTGAATATCAGTGAATAAAAATAGGGGAAAACAAATAAAAGGAAACCTTCAACACTATCAGTGCTATGTGCAAAGTAAAATGAGAAAAGGGGAGGAGTAGTCTGGTGCTATGAATGCAGTACCAATTTATTTTAAAAACCTTTCATTGAGTACTAACAGGCAAGTCAATCAGCTCTGCATCATTATCTCGCCCTTTAAGGAGTTTTTAATTTAGTGAAAGAGAAAGCCAGGCACACAGCAACAGGCAATGCTTATTGAGTGCTTACTGCATGCCAAATGATCTAAGATGGTTTAGTAAGAAATGAGAATCCACGGCAGAGCTACCGGAAATGAGGTTTTGGAAGTAGTTAGTGATGTAAACTAGTACTTAAATTAGTTCATTGGCAGTGAAAACCAAAACGGAGTTTACGTGCTTAACTGCCATGTAGCTCAACTACGACCTCCCCTCACCATGATCAGATTAACTTTGTTTGCTGTTACACGAAATAAATAAAAAATAAACCATTGTGTTCTTCTATGGATAACTTTAAAATAACTGACAAACATTTGTTCTTTACTATTTTGAAGGCGAAATACATAAGAGTCCAATGCCTAAAATTAATTATAATCTATAAACATAGTAAATCAATTCTGATCTTGAACAACTTCCGTTTCCTGGTGCTCTTCACAGGTAGCCTGAAGCACAGCTTCACACAGAAGTATATTACCCTAAGTGTTCATCAAGATCCAAACGATCTTTACGTGAAAGCAAAAGCAGTTATAAAGTCTACAGACACATTTACTACTTTAGAAGCCGAGCTTGATGAGTTACACTACATAATTTCCATAACTAAGCCAATTTAATTTGAGTGGCCGGATTTAGGTATAATGTAAAGCAATTACAAGGGAGAGCATTGAATGGCTTTTTTGATAGGAGGGTACTGTACATTTTTATACATTTCTTATTCCCTCTCCCATAAACATTAAATTTCTCCAAGGAACAGAAGCCATCTTTATTCCTCTGTGGCACTCTCATTTTCCTATGAATAAAGCTCTGTAAATAACTGCTAAAATTGTATATTTTACCAACTCTTGACAATTCAATAGATTCAAAGTAGTTATAGTTTTTTTTTTAAGTGTGTGTTGCAGCAAACAATGTAATCACAGATAGCAGAAATCCAAATTTTTTAATCACTGTGTTGCCATAAATATGGAAGGGTCTCATAGTTTGGCCATAGACAGCACATAAATCAACTCATATGAGTTTCCTTCCTTCTTTTTCTCTATTCACTTTCCGAGTTAATAAAGTATTTTTTAAAAAATAACATTCTGAAAAGAACCTTCTGCGGCCTGAGAAAAAAAATAAAGTATACATTTGGAGCCAAAGAGTTGCCATCATTTTCTGATTCACTTAAGGGAACCAAGGGATAAGCTCTGCGCCTCCAACTCCCAAAACATCCCAAGAACTATGCAAACTGAACATGTCAACGTGCCTGTTTCTCTAACTAGAATATATGAAGACAAAAACGGGGGTGGGGGGATACAGCCTCATCTAATGGAATTATTCATATTAGAGGAAGTTAATTAACACTGCTGATTTAAAGAAAAAATTGGCATGCGATTCGTCTTGCTGATGGATTACTTTTCTAGAGTACATAATTACTGAACTCAGTAAAGGGCAGTTCCTTTTCATTTATTACTACAGAAAGTTTTTTCCTGATCCCAAAAGGCCTAAAACGTTTCAGCCCCAGATGCAACCCATTGACAGTCTGCAAAAAATTCGGGATTGGGAGAGAGAAAAGGCCAGCGTTAGGGAAATGATCAAACAGCCTACTCAACACAACCATCCAGGTTAAAGTTTTCCTAATCCCAGAACTTTAAAAGGCATTTCAAAGGCGCTCTGCAATCCAAAGAACCCCTGGGGTGCAACGGGAGAAACTAAAAAGGACGCCCAGCACCAGAAACTAAAAAGGACGCCCAGCAGGTGCAGGCCCTTCGGATAAGGCCAGGAAACCCAGGCGTCTCCAAGAGTCAAAAACCCAAAGGCCCGGTACCTTATACATTGAGGGGAATTCGTGCTGGGAAATATCCACGCACTGCGGAATTCTAGAGGGAAATAACTGGCAACAACAACAAAAACAAAAATAGAAAGAAAAGGGGTGGGAGGAAAGAACAAGAAACACAGGACAGGACTACAATTACTACTGCAAAGAGGTAACCCCCACTTCCGAACCCTACCTGTCAGTGACCCCACTTCCGGTCTCCTCCAAAAGGCCCGCTCCCACAGGCGGACGTCCAGCAGCCAATGAGATTGTCATCTACTTCCGCAGGACTGCATGACGTCTTTTACACCCGCCTTTTCCGGTAGAGAGGAGCCTATCGTAGCGTCTCAGTCGCTACGGCTCAGGAGGAGGTGCCCTGACAGGCCCAACCAGACCGCGGGAGGGAGCGAGACGGGCAGGCGGGGCGTGCACGCCTGTTCCGCCCTGGGCCCGGAAGGGTGATGTGGCTGAGGCTTCGCCGGCCTCACTATGGTAAGAACCGGGGCTGTGGGATCGTGGATGAGCTTTGTAAAGGGGCTGTGGGCTTAAACTAGGACTGAAGGGCTGGGCGGCAGTGGGTGCGCGGGCCAGGGAATCCTGTCACCAACTTGATTCTGCCGGGGCTCGGAGGATGCGCAGGCCCTGGAGCCGTGTGGCCTCTGCGTGCCCAACTGGGGAGAACCAGGGCCGACCACCCAAGAAAGACCCCGGGGTCGCGGAGCCCATCTGGCCCCGCGGAGCCACTTTCTTGACTTGTTAGGAAGAAATGTGCTGGTTTGGCTGAACCCGTCGGTTACGTAAACTCTGTGGTCCTGGACCCTTTGAGGCATTACAACTTCTCGGGTGTGCGCTGGTTATGCCGCGTCTCCTTCTCTCCCTGGGGGCCTGGCCCAGGTGTTTATTTCATTGTCAAATAAACCCCAAATTCCACGCCTTAATTTTCACCTGTTGAAGCAGTAGCCTTTTAGGGCTCTGCTGCTCCATTCTCTCAACCTTAAAAATGCCACTTTACAAACTATAGATTTTAATGATTGGCGTTCTCTGCAGAGGTGGTTTCTCTTCTGAAATGGGGCCTGGCCTCCAGCCTTCCTCCCCTTCCCCACACTCTGTTAAGGCTGTATGTGTTATTTTGTATTACTGTAGATTCCTTTGACAGTTTGGGCCTCTTAGAAAAGTTTGAAATAAGTCATAAAAGTTTGCAAGAGAATGCTTACATCACCAGGTTGAAAAAAAGAGGTACAGCCAGCACGGCCAGAGGACAGGTGTAATAGCAGTAGTAATAGTATCTCCCAAGCTCTGTCTTGAGTCATTTTACCTTTGTTATGGTAAATGCCAGCAGCCTCTACACGGGGCTCTCATGATGAATTTATGAAATTCACGTGCCAGATGTTGCCTGTATGAGCCTACTTCTGGGGAAAGAATGTGTGCCTTTCATAATAGTATCAAAAGCAACTATGATCCCCACAATGCGGAGAAGTTGCTGAGCTTGTGTTTCCAGAAGTTCCTGCAGC